TTCTTTATGAATACAATGCTTGATACTGGGGTCATAAAAATGTTTTATAAAATTGTTCCAACTTTTGAATATTTTTGCCTTAAATTACTGTAAAAACTATTCTACTTTACTTCATTAAAACTGTTTTAAACTTAGTTGTTAATAAAGGCTATGCTTGGCTTTTTACCTTTTGCACAAAAAAAGCAGAGTTAGTTTTTGCGTGTTCCGACATCCATTAAATGTTGTTAATGACTATAAAAATAGTTCAGTGCGATTTTACTTCAATAGGACTACAATAAAATGCATCACAATTTGAAATGTGTGCATTAAAATAGAGTAAAGTTTTTTGTACACGAAAAAAATAACGTTATAAATATTTCGTTTAGGGCTGTTAAAAAGCTTTCCAAAGCAAAACAGTTGACTGTTTTTCATTTACGTTCCGTGTCATTCACTTAAAAATTTGTGATCGTTAATGTTGTGCGTTTCTGAAAATGTAAGCATGCCTGATACTACATAATATTAAGTATATAGTTCTCTGAGTGTAAGCAATCATTTTTCTGTGAAAAAGTAGTCTAGAAGTAAAGTGTATTTAACTGTTTAGCTTGTATCCAACTATGAATTTGCCTATTTAAATTATATAGTAGTTTAAATTGATTTTTCCCAAGAATAGGAATTATTGGTTCTACACCTAATGGCTTAGCTATTTTATTAGAGTATTTAAGCTTCATGATTCGATAGATAATGGTCTTACTATGTTTTTTGGCATGTTTGCTTATTGAACTTGTTGTTGTGGATGTGGGTCCCCTGCCCCTGCCCATGTCCCTGCCTTTGGCCCAGCCCGTTCATTTTGGTTGAGTTGACCGCATGTACCGCTCTTGCTGCTTAATTAGCAAAACAGCAGCCGGGCATATGAAATGCAAGCCTTGGCACAAACTGGACCGACATTACTGGCGCATGTAACCACAATCAACAATGTCAACAGCTGCTGTATGTCTGAATGTCACGCCGTGAACAGACACTTCGACAGTTGCTTGCGACGACACGCCTACGACCAGAATATCTGACCCCCATGTCGTCTCACCAACATCTGTGCCTGTGTGAGTGTGTGAGTATGTGAGTATGTGTGTGTGAACAAGGCTACCGTTACATATTCATTTCAAAGGCAATCATTAAATACCATTGCGCAGATGTTGGAGTTGCTGTCTGCGCTTTGAAGTTTGAAGAACTGAACTGCGCGAAATGTCAAGGTGCGCAGGTTAAGGAGCTTGGGGCGGATTCTGTTGCGCTGTTGTGCAAACAAATATATATACATACATATATTTACGTATTTGTAGCATGAGCATAGACTTACAGCGACGCCTTCGTTTGTTTTTAAGTGGGCTTATTTGAATTTACTGCGTGGGCGCAAAGCGTCAAGACGACGCTGTGCGACGAGCACGTTTCAGAAACACAAACACACACACACATCCAAAGCGCGCATGCTTCATTAAACTAATAAAAAACACCATTTTTACTTGACTTAATTTCACTTGGCGCTGTAAATTTTCACATGTAATTATTGTAAGTAAGTGAAATTATATACACATTTTGACTTGAGGCGCTAACTTTTATTTGAGAAATGTTCGTCGCTGTGTGCTCTGCAAATGCGCCAGACAGTAAATGCTTTTGGCGCCAGCAGCTTCTCCAATAACAACAACACAATCAAGTGTGCTGTGTAGGCTTTTAGCAAATTTACATGCAACATTCGCTCATTGTTTAATCATTGGAAATGCGTAATGTCAAAAGTTTCGACATTCTTGATGGAAGTCGTCGAACGGGGTTGGATAGGTAGGCGTTAAGTACTGCCTATACTCGTATATATTTCTATATAGTACATACATATATACAACTAGAATATGTACATAAGTGGCGCCGAAATGGCTTAGCATGGATTTCAACAATGGGGCAGAGTTAAAAAAGGCTTATTTGTAGGCCCAACAGCTTAGCCAACTGCCCACGCCGGGACTCTGGCTAATGAGAAGCAAGAGCTTGGTAATTGCGATACAAACCTGATGCCTGTGGGCATGCACAAGTAGTATGTAGAAGTAGGCGTGCTCTGCATTTCAAAGTCTAAACTTTAGTTTGACTTTAGGATTTGATAAATTTGATTGCCATTGCAAAAAACAAAAATTCTAATTAGCAAATGGTGTTGTTTAATACCCACACAGAATTTAATTTATATTATATTGCATGTGATGATCAAAAAGTAATAAAATGTTCATAGCACAGCTGTAATATTACCTCAGGATAATATTTAGTTTAAAATTGTACTTGTTCACAACAAATAATTTACATACATATTTTAGCAATGAGAGAAATACCTGTGCTCCAAACAACTAACAACTAAGTTGGATGCAACAGCTTGTGGGCTAGTACTAAATTAAAAGATTCAAACTTAGAATTTGTGAAAGTCGATATATGTAATTAATCATTAATGTTTGGTTAAGGTTACTTTGGAATTTTAGACTGTGTAGACGAAATTCTAAAGATGGGAAAATAAAAAAGCTGCCTATTTTAAGTCGAAAAAAAATGGTCTGCCGACATAGATATACATAGAAGCCTTATAAGCTTTGAAAGCCTATATTAACCAAATTAAAATAATATCTAATCAACGCCTCCGAACTGATTGAGGAATTTTATTTGACATTCAAAAAATATATAAAAAGAAAACAATTTAAAAAACAAATTAAAAACTAATTGATTAAATTTTTAAGAATAAACTAAGAAAAAAAGTATACCTAGTTATACCCTTTGTACCCTTCCATAAAATCGCTGAGCAAAGTCCCCTCTTTTTAGAAATGCGTATCTTTTAATCAAGAAGATAAAACATTAATTGAGGGAGGACTTTTTAGAGGCGCGGCAATACAAGCCGAGTGTGCTAGTTTTTCTTAAGTATGTAGATAAGGTTTCGGCAGCGTTTTACTTGATTAATTAAACTTGTAACTTATTTATTTATGAAAACTCTAGTTCAGTCGTGACTGCATTTAATTTTTGTATTATTTTATGGCTTTTTTGGCTTCTACGTACATATTAACTTGTTGGATTAAATGCGTTATATAAACCTGTGGGATTAAATGCATATTTATGCATATGCATATTTTTTTAATAACTGAACGCAAAAGCGTACGCGATAAGTATTATAGTAAACATTAACGTAAGCGCCTTCTCTGAGTCTATCAATAACAGTTTATGGCGATTAAGTGTTCAAACAGTATGTGCCTGCACATTGCTGTACAGTGAACGCTCATATAAATACATATGTACATACATTTACATAAGCTTAATTGCTTGGTCGCTCTGTCGCCTCCGTTGAAAGTTGCAAGCGATGGAAAAATAAAAATATTTAACATTTATGCAGTCATCAATGCAAATTGGTATTGAGCCTTTTCGCTCCCTTTTTGCATTGAGGTTTATGGAAAATGAGCATTTTGTTATTTACATAATTGATATTTAAAAAACAAATTGAAAATGTGTGCACACCAGCCTCCGGACGACTACTGAGTTAAGCGCAGACGCTGTCGAGGTATTCAAAGGACATTTCGTACGGACATCATTAATTGAAAAGTTATATAAAATGGATATGATGACAACGTCGAGCATGAAGTGTAATTACTGTTGTTGTTGTTGTTGTTGTTGCGAGTACGACAGCTGTCCAGAGAATGCACAAGCACTGCTCCTGTCATTGTCCTGCAAGTGGATGGGCAGGACTATTAACAATTGAGAGCCTTGTGGCCCATTCAGGCTTTGCACACGGCAATTGTCTTTTTATAGCTATTGTAAAATGTTCATTACAAACACTTGAGGCGGCGGCAGCATGGGCGTAAAAAGTTAATAAAGATGGTCGTTTTTTTCAACGTTTATTCTTATAGCCCATAGGGTTGCAGGTACCACAGAAATTATATATATGGATATAGGCCTGGATTACGGAAAAGAGTCATATCAGTCTCCAGGCACCCTTTCAAGGCTACATAAATGAATCGGACGCAATTAATATACATTTCACTACTTTCATATCAAAATTCATCCGAAGCGGATAATTCTAAGAAAAGTTATTAGGAAAACAATTTTATCAACGTGTTGGCTTTTCTTCTTTTTGTTGCTGCCCTAAGCAATATGCATTTTTGTTGGTTACTAGGTATAGCACTATCGGTCTTGCTGTAACATTCTTGTTGTAATTAAATTTCCAGAAACTGTAATGCAGCAAAAGTAATTACATTTCAACACACAGCTTCTAACCAGCACTCACACACACACAAACTTATGCATTCTCAGGACACACAAGTATGTAGCTGCATTCTGCCGAGCCTTTTAATATGCAATTAAACGTTGATCATACGCAACGTTGGCTGCTTGACGCTCTTGGCCAAAAACTAATTTGACATTTTCCAAAATTTGCTTTAATTCAATTTATTTGCATATGCGTTTATGCAAAAAATTATATATTTAACCCAAATTCATGGCCAACGACAACGACAAATTTGCGGCTAGAAAACAATTTGGTTGAATTGTAATTTTAATTAAACAGCAACCATATTTTTTCAAATTATTAGTTTTTTTGTTCAAAGCGTGAAAAGGTAAAAAAGTTGAATGACAAACAATACGGCATAATTAAAAAGTCAAATCGTAATAACCATCTAACCAATTATAAAAAAAACTCGAAAAACAAACATTTTGAAACATATTTTTATGGCGCTATTAAAATAAATGAAAAACTCTGCAATTCATGGGCAAAAAGCGTTAAATGGAAACAATGTGGCCTCATGAAAAAGTCAAATCGTAATCACCATCTAACCAATTAAAAATATTCATTAGCACTGCAGCCATGAATAAGGCCAATTAAAATGAAATGAAACATAATTAAAAGTAATGCAATCAAATGTGGAAGGATTAGGCAAAATTTTAATTTTAATTTGCGTAAATTGTTTTAATAAAAAGCACTGCAATTTAATTATGAATGCAAACATGTTAAGCCAATCAAACACTTAACAACTGCAGTGAGCTGTAGCTGAGGTTTGGCTGACGGCTTCGATGTCAGACCCATTTTCTTCTTCCTCTTCCGGCTTTAGCATATCCAGCATAGCATTGGTTTGCCAATCTGTGATTTCCTTCGATGCCTCGTCATTTATATTTCGCAGTTCGGCTTCTAGATCCTCTTCCTCGGCAAATACCACAACCTCGTTCGCTAGCTCTGTTTGTAGTTCTCTGTGCTGCTCCAAAATATCGTGAGTATCAGTCAGCACCTCGGCAATATTGTCGAAATTCAAGCCGCAATCATTGAGCACTTTTTGCAGTGCTTTTGTGCCAATTTTATAGGCGTCGAAAACAAAGCCGTTGTTCTGAGCTTCGACAACATTAGCGAACAGTTTCTCAACATGAAGCAGAGCCATGCCACGTCGCTCTGTGTGTTGCAAAGAAAACTAGCCTATAGTACATATATTTTACGAAACGTCTTTTAAAAGAAAGTTAAAATATAAACAACTGTGTGGATTGCTAGGCGACATTCTATTAAATTATCTTTAGGAATACTACCAACCATGATTTTTCTCCACCAAATGCCTTCTTCGCAAATACACTTTTGCCAACTGCCTTTTATTCTCCTTCACGTATTGATGCACTTTTTTATCATTGAATTTACATTCGTCTTCAAGTTTCTCCATTTGCTGCAACAGACTAGTCTTGGTCATCTGTAGTCTGTGGAGGGCCAGATCTAGTTCGGTAATATCCATATTCGCATCGTTGCCTTCTAATGTTTGGTGCTCGTTTAATAGAAATAAAAAAATTATTCAAAATGAAGCCTTGCCTGGTATTTTGATGAGATGAATAAGCCGCTTTTGTTTTCCATCTTTATACTTTAAGCCCAGACCTTTTCGGGTATGCAGCGTCTGCAGACATAGCGCTAGTGATTCTGAATGGATCTTTAAATCACACGTACTACAAAGTGCCTCAAATGCTTCAAAATATAGCAACTTCCCGCGATTGTATTTCAATACCTTATTTTCTAAGCTATCGCATTGTATCTGGGAATCGTGAGTAAATTAAATACAAGCAGAATTCAAAAACATTTTCCTTTAAAAAAAGTAGTTACCTTTAGAGTATTTAAGTGCACCCATTTAAGGTCCTCGGATATCGGGTTATGCCACAGCTTCTGCCAGGCCCAGCTAAGAGGTCGTTTCACAAAAATATTTAAAGCCCAGGTGTGCCAGGTGCTACGTAACTCGTTCTCGTAGTCGCTGCGTGCTCGAATTTCTCTCGTCTGCTGCATCTTGGCAATTACGAGGTCCAAACACGCGGGCGACTGGTCACCCCGCATAAACCATGATTGTAGCTCACGCTGGCTAAAGATGGCTGTATCCAAAAATTGACAATATTTCCCAATTAAATGCCTCCAGAATGCCGTCTTTTCGTTCTCTGCGTTCTCAGCGCCTCGGGATCGCACCGACGAGAATAAGAAGCGCATTTTACAGTCATCTTGCCAACATTCTGGAAAATGAAAACTTGTAAGATTTTCTTCACTGGGCTTAGCAAGCATTTAAAAAATAACTTGATTGAGTTTTATAGAAAGCGCGTTGTTCGTTGAAATAAATAACTTTTTTCTTTTATGCTATAGACTTGTTTAAATTTCCTATTGAATTTTTTATTTACTTGATTTGACAATACAGTCCAGGGTCCAGCCATTAATATCAGCATTGAATGTGACAGAGCGACAGAGTTTTAAAAACTCTATGATCTGCTGCAGCTCAGAAAGAGCTCTGACTAGGGAAGCGTACCAATACGACTAAATTGACATTATATTTGTACTGAAAAGAAAATTTTTATATATATTCATTCGGCGAAAATAACACGCCGATGTCACATCATTTTAACACTTTCAAAACAACAATTGAAATCAAAATTATTTAAAACCATTTGAAAGTCTTTTCTTTTCATTTGAAAGTCAAATAAAAACACTGAAGCTAAAATAAAGCTGTACGTGCGGCAAAAATATAAAGTTTTATTATCGATGGTTCGACTCTTCCTTCATGTTTGGAAGCATTCGTAAATCTATTGATAATGGTGCAGAGTATTTTGTTACTCGCTCCTTGTACCAATACGATTTAGTGGGACTTGCTTCAAGTGCAAAAAGCGACACTCACTTCGATATATGGATGGTGCTGCCTCCATCAGGTTGCATAACACCTGCACATTATGGCAACGTCTTCCTCATCAGCCTTCGATTCCATGTGCTGTAGCAATTGTTTAACCCTCAGTACATATTTGCAATATAACCAACATTGCTTAATTCACCTCCTTATTAGAAAGTAATTGGAATACAGTGGATTGCAAAATCACTTTGCTTGCCTCAGAGGGCAACTTATTTGTCGAGCTTTAATTGTATGGCAAATTTCCGAACATACTTCAGTGCTTTCGCTGCGAATTTCTTGGTTAATTACCCGCAACTGAAAGGAAACACTTAGTCGAGCGTATCGTCCTTTTCGCAAGTGATGTAATCCTTAAATTTACTGCGCAAATCGCTAAGCCAGTAGGCAGCCGCCAGTTGTGTTGTCTAGCCCTTTTTTTGTTTTAGATTTTTGCTGTTGTTGCATGTGGGCGCGGACAAAATAAATATTAGGCGACACTTTTTTCTTGTCATCTGGGCAAATGCTATCATTAAATCGACCAACATTGCTATGCCCGCCAGCCAATTTCAGTCAGTCATCCAGTCCGGCAGCCAGCCAGCCAGATGTTGTCCTATTTGCTGCTGATTTTTTGTTGTCATGTTTTTTGTTTGCTGCTATTTGTGTGCTGTGTGTGTTGTCGTTTTGTCTGAAGGACGTCTACAAACTTGGGCTAATTAATTGCAAATTTTGCGTTTTTCCGACCCACTTAAAATGATCGATGACACGGTCATATAAATACAAATCTGTTTGCATTTCATTGACGCCAGCAAGAAAGACAAACAAACAAACAAAAAAATGTGCCAACAAATCGAAAAAACTGCCATGAAAGGGAATTAAGAGGGAAAAAGTATTTATGTATTTATATTGAGGCAGACAGCTTTGGCGCGGACGTTGCAAAAAGTTTGTGAACCATCATCAATATGTCGTGTGCAGTACTGCCCCTAATTGATTCGATTAGAGGAGGCTGAATGATTGTGGTTTTGTGCAAACAACACCGGAAATGAACATGTTTTAGTTCTGTTCGTCAACACTGGCATGAACTTCATTATGGACTGAATTGTTGTGCACGATGGCACATCATCTAATTACTTACCGGTAGCATGAATCAGACAATCTTAGCGGAGGCAAGTCATTAAATTTATGGGCTATGGCAATGGAATCAAAGCTGTTCATTTGTATTTTTTAATAGGTTTTTGTCTGCCAGCCTTCATCGGGCCGCAGTCCTGTGCAAATAATGATAAGCCGACCGGCCATAAGCCGTAAAAAATGGTAAATAAAAAAGTCTACGTTAATGATCACAAAATATGTATGAGAGTATAAAAAAAGTAAGCCCCAAAAGTAAAGAGGCAAGCAATTAGCATATTTTTAAGTTAATTGGCCCATGGCGCTCACCCCAACTGCCGCCCGCAGCGTTGCTTCTGTTGCTGCTGGTGCTGTTCATGGTCAAAGGACTCGGCCCCTAAATGCAGCTCAAAGTGCACCCAAGTGCCTGTTGATAAGCGCCAAAGTGCGGGCCATGTGTTGCCACTTTAACTGCTAACTGTCTGGCAATTAAGTGGAGTCCTTATCACATAAAACGCACACCTGCACATCGGACTCATTCCCCTGCCTACAGTCCAAGTTAGCATAATATGTGAGGTAAGGGTAATATTGAAGTCTCAAAAATCGTATTAGACTCAAGCCCACATTTTGTAATTATCTTTTTGACATATAATTTATTTTTCTATTGTCAGGGTCACGCCCAGGCGCGCCCCCAAATTAAAGGTCGTTCGCATGTTCGACAAATAGAACTTTGCCTTCAATATTTAGAGGTGCGGGAAATTACAGTCATTGATTTCAGCTTTCGCTTTAGAAAATAGATGGCTTATGTGAAATCGATTGGATTTTTATTGAATGGAAAGCCGAGATTATTCATATTAACACCTTTCTTGCATTAAATTGTCGCGGTCTGTTTTCGGTTTTGTAAGCACAAATCAGAAAAAAGTATAAATATTTATATGTTTACTATATCGTAAGCTTAAATTGTTAATAAACCTAGGCTCATCTATGCAGTACAGGGTGTGGTTTTTAACCAAACTTTTTATTTAATTTATTTCGTTTTTGGGTGTTTTGGGACATCTACGTTTTTAGATTTTTATTTAAGAAACGATTCCAATTGAAGATTTTGAAATATTTGGTATTGTTAATAGCTTTTAGAATATTACACAAAATTATATAATACTAGCGTCCTGCCTCTGTTTCGCACGGGTATTTTTACAAAAAGTTTAATAACATACACCCTTCTTTTTGCTATGAGTTTCTAAGAAGGAGTAACATTTATTTTGGATATTACTATTTTATTTACTTATTTTTCGTTTTTAGATTTTTTTATTATTCTCATTTGATGTTTTATTTTGTGGTAACAAAATAAATTGATTTTCAGGAGCTCAACATTGCTTTCGTATGTCGACCCCTGTTAATTCGAAGGCTTGGCCTTGGGACTACCGGAAATTGAAGCCATATAAATGATCAAATGGGATCATCGGTATCCTCGGTATCCTCGTTATATGAGCTAGTTGACCAGTTGCTGGGCCGTCGATAATAGTTGCTACATTTAAATTGTCCTGCAATTCCTTAATAAGCGGCCTCGTTCCATTGCACATGCTTGGAAGGCCTTAATTTCTCAAAAGCATGATTGCAATTCCGAATTTTACCGTCAATTCATGGGCCGGCAGTCCAGAAGGGCTTGGTGGATTTAAATGTCTTCAATATTAATGACGGTGTCGATCGATTCGTAATCTTTTATTTGGCTGGGTGCTTTTGAATAATATTGCCTTAATATTTAAAGTGACAATGTTTTGAGGATGATTATGAACTAACAGCATGCTATTCAGGAGTTTTTTAAGGAATTTTGTTTACACCTTTGGTTACATTATTGGCGTTTTAGTAAGGATTCCATTCTGTTATGCCAATTTAATATAGCCCATGTTAGCCGACGATAATGCAGCTTCCCAACAGTGCAAGAAGCCATTAAATCGGTCCAGTAGATTCAGAGCCTTTTCAATTCAAACAAACGAACAAACAATTAAATCTTTCCTCTTTATAATATTAGTATAGATTGACAAGCTGCTCTAAATTCTTTGTTTAAGCACCGATCCTATATGTTGAACTTGTTGTAATTTAATGCATTCCCCAATATACTTATTGTAGACTATAACTGTATAGAGTATAAATAACAATCAAATACAATACCATACTTCCAAGTAAATGTTAAATCGAATTAATCGAATCGAAATGTTGAAGGCTGTCTTACAATTGGCCTCTGCCTGAACAGAATTTGTATGTATTTTGTACGTTATATTTATATTGTGTTGCCCTGAATTGTACGTATAGTGCAACAGTTTTATTGCCTGAAGTCGCCCGAGGTTATAAATCACACAAGCACGTACATATGCGTTAGACAAATGAAAAACTTTTGGCATATGTGTGTGTGTGCAATACATATAGAGTATGTGTGTGATTTTGTGGGCTTGTGTTTATGTGGTTTTTTTAGCAGCCAGGTAGCAGGAGTCAGCTTATGGTTGGCTGGCATTTTCTTGCACTTTCTTCTTCTTTGCAGTTGCCTGCTAGCTGATATTCCACTTATGGCCTTGACTGCACTTTGTTATCGCTCTCCTTCTGGCCTTGCATGTAAATTTTCTAATTGTCATATTCATAGTGGGGCTGCAAATTTATTCATTGGCAATTTAATCGAAAATTTATAGAATTTTCTAATCCAAACACATACGCACAATATTCCACAAGAACTATATAAACACAATATTCCACAAGAACTATATAAACAGGCCATACACAAACAGAGACACACATATACGTTCTATTTCTATTTGAAGGCGCAATCTTTGTTAAGAAAATTACAGCAGCAGGCTCGGGTCAACACATTTGCTTGTCTCTCTCAGTTATTTAAAGCATTGCTCGAATACCAGAACTGCTTATGGCTCATTTGGCAAGCAAATTGTTGGCCCAAAACGATTTAAGTTTGTTCAAGCACTTCTCTAGTTTTGTTTGGCATGACTTAAATAGTTGACGCATCTTTGGCTTTTGTAGCGTATATATGCAAATGCCTTTGATTTAAATTGTGGCTTAGCAACTGAGACTGAATGAATATGCTACTACAAAGAAATGTGTATCTGGGTCAGGTGGGAAGCTTGTAAAGCCATGTTGTAATGTTTAATGTTTGTTAAGTTTGTTAAGTGGTCTGCCCGCAAAGAAGTTGGCCTTAATGGTACAATGAGCATTTCATTTAAATGCTCGCCACCTGTCTGCAGTTTTATAAGATTTTAATGCAAATTA